TCTTGGCCAAGGACTTTTCCATCTCTGCAATGTGTTACACTTGCTCCTTGATTTGATCATCTAAATTTCCAACTGTGTTGCCTCTAGCCATGCCAAACTTTATTTTCCCAAGGTATGCCTTTACTAGATTTGACAAATGTGTGCAGGTGACATCGACCTTGAAGTTTATGCTCTTGGCATCGTCAATGGCATTTTTACACAAATAGAAAAAGTCCCTATTCATTTCAGCAAAAAGGATTACCTCCATATGCCACATGGCCACACAAAGAATCAAGAAGGTGTCTTCAACCACCACTTTCTTGGCTTTGCTACATGTTGTCAGATTTTGAAAAATGTCTAATAGATGGTGCGCCCATGCTTCCAACATTGCAAGTACTACAAACTTGCCCACTGGTTGTGAGCCACCTATGGGCGCTAAGCCGAATTGACCTAATGACACATCTCAATCCTCATTCATCTCTTCCAGATTCTTGAGTAGCCTCACAATAAAGTCATCATCCTTACCTGACTTAGTTGGAGCTGAAGATGGCTCATCATTATGCTCTACCTCGTTAAGGCTGGCAACCTTTTTCATTGAGCTCATGGATGGCTTGTCAGCATTCACCTTGCTTTTACTGGAAATGGACTTTTTCGCACCATTATTTACATTTGACTTGAATTTTGAGGGCAACCCTATTCATGTCTATGCTACTTTGAAAACCCACATCTTCGCTCCTCTATTTAGAACCATTCGTACTCTCAAACGAGACGTCCTTGTCACTCAATTTATCGTTGCTGCTATCACTGGAGTCAAAGCTGATTTCTTCAATGACAACTTTCCCCTTTTCTTCACTAGCACCAACCACAGCCTTGACCTTGCCCTTTTTGACACTTGGTGAAGTAGATAAAGGTGCAATTGATCAACAAAGGATTTTGCATTCAACCAAGCAATGCACCAAAATGCAAGCTATTCCACTGGATTGTTTTAAGTACCTTTCTCAGCAATGGCAATATTGGCACTCTTCTTTAGTATAAATCCTCCCTTGATTAATTCGAAGTCATCAGCTCTGAAAGGAGGTAATTCGCTGATGAGACACAGTTGTATACAAAAGAAAGTCAGTCAAGTCAACAATTTAACCTCAATGATTGTCAGAGTGTTTTTCAGCTTTTGTGAAAGTACAAGAATTCGTACCTTCAATATCATCGCTTTCAGCTGAGTCCCGGCTATCTCGAGCTTCTTTGCCATTTTAGGGGTACCATATGAAACCTTCACACCCCTCTTACCCTACAGCGAAGTAAAGGAAACTTAACAAGCATGTTTCAACATTTTTTTAAGATACAAAGTCTCAATTGTAGAAGATAAAGAACAAGTCTATGTGACTTATAGTAGAAGGCTTTTGTGGTGGAGCCTTATTGACTTTAGCCTTCTTCACCCGACTCAACTGTGAAGGATACAAGACCACTTCAATCAGTGATAGAGTCAACAAAACTAAGTATGCGATTAGAAAGCGGAGGCTCACCTATTTCGCTATCCATAATTCTTTGGTGAACTTCAAGGTTCGCTAGAGCTTCCTCCATGTTCACTGCTAAAGGCTCTACCCTTTTAGCCTTTTCAAACTTGGACAAAACCTTGTCATCACCATGGATGGGAATAGGACCAAGGCCTTCGTTGAAAGCTGTCGACTATCCATACAAACATTAAGCCACATACCAAAGGATCCTTAGTGAGGTCAACAATGATCAAAAGGCATGCGAAAGACAGGATTGGCAATACACCTACCTAGAATGAAGCGGTTGAATCATAGTAGTTCTCACCCAAGCATTTACAGCCGTGAATGGGTCTCAATCTTTTAATCTGTTCAATCACCTTAGGATCTAGATCACCTCAAGAACTCTCACCACTGTCACTATCATCACCTGCCTCTTTTTCTTTGGTAGCTTTCGCCTTGGAGGATATGGGTGCACTAGCTTTGCTCTATTTGTTGGCTAGTGAAGCAAAAGTCCTGTGCACTTTACCTTTGGGTGGATGAACAACACTTTTCCTCTTGCCCATAATTGATTTCTTTGGAGGAGTAGCTTCACCAACTTCACTTGCAATGCCATGAGAAAAGTACCAAAATAAGGAACGCTTTTCAACACCTGTTCAAAATGGCTAAGTTTTTAGATAAAAGAAGAACCAAAGTTTAAGATAGAAGTAGAAAAGTATATTTACCTTTAGTTCCAACATTGCTAGCTGCTTCCTACCCAAATTCTTCACTAGCAACCCCGCCTTGGCCATATTCTTCCTTCGCCATGCCATGAACGGGCAAACAAATGGGCACCCATTGTCCGTTGTCTTCCCTTGTTAAAAAGCCCCAAGAATGTTTATTGCAATAACTCAAGAAAGAGTTATTATCAATGGAAAGATGTTCACCATCTCAAGAAACAAGGCTATATTCCACAACTTCTAGCAATGATTAGATAAAAGCCTTAAATTTTTTCAGCAATATACTCTAATACTACAGCATCAATGATGACGTGGTCGACATTTTGGCAGTACTAAAAAACATGAGTGTGGCAACACCTCCACTCCACATGGCCGTGGTGGCCTCATCAATGTAGGGCTGCATGGCCTTGTTCCAGTTTGTTTTATTTGAGAAAGGAGTAGGAGGTATATCTTGATCATAATTGAATTGTCTCACAACTCTTTCTAGGCAATAGCATTCTAAACTCCATGTCCCCCGCCATGTAAGGCGTGGTAACATGATGGAGTGATCACCGCCAGCATCTCCAAATGGTTCAAGTCTCCCACAGTTTAGTTCACGATTTAATTCCTAAGCACTGTCGGGAGCGTCTTGACAAAAAAGCTCAACTCGGGTGGTGCAAACATTCTTGGCATTGATTTGTATGCATGGAAATTAAAACTGCCATAGTCATCAAGAAGGCCATCAACTTCCGAGACTATTTGTCCCTTTACCTTTCTTTTCCTTATCTAATAGCAAGCTAGCGGAGTTGTTCCACTGGTAGAACTGCACTTCGCCATGGGATTTTCCCTCAATGCTTTCCCGGTGGTAACATGTCCAAAGAGATATGGGCGAAATCTTTCCCCTCGAAAACATTTGCAACAAAAACAAACACACATGCGACTCGATGATATAGTAGCTAACACCAAGGATCTCATCAAAGTGAAGCAAATCAAGCATGTGATAAAGCATACCTAGCATCAGTGGAGCCAAAAGAAGCCTCATGCCCTTAGCCAAGCAAATTGCAAGTGGAATACACTTGGCCATAATCTCGTGATTAGAGAAAACCTCCAAAGACAAACTTGCTCAACCTAGCTGTAAGAAAAGCTGCATGCACGTATGGACTATCCTTACTTTCGCCAGTCCGAAAATGTCGCATCCAAGTTGGAAAATCAATAATGTACTCTCATCTCTATGAATGAGAAGAAGCACTAGCATTTTTCTTCATCGCCTTCTTTAAAGCAACCAGCGTAGCGCACTCCTCCGGCGTCAATGCTATGTGCTGCAGGTCCTCTTCCCCAACGATGGGCAGCAGCATTAGGTTTGCTACATCTTCTAAGGTCATAATAACTTCTTCGAAAGTAAGGATGAAAGTATGAGTACTTGTACACCATCTTCTCACCAAGTGACATAGGCACTCCACATTGCAGCTAATCTGCAAGGTTTAACTCAAAGCCATCGACTAAAGGACTCTAGCGACATGAATATCTCCATAAAGCCATTGTTAGCAAGCATTTCCTTAGACCAACTTGTCCAACCTTTCATTTTGCCTGATGCAAAGTCAAAATGAATGGGCACTACTAGTAGGTCCCGTCTTTCAAGCCTTGCCCTTATCACATCATTGGGCGAAGGAAACCATGCTACGTCAATATCGCCCCCCTCAAAAGCCTTGAGCAAAATCAAGTCTTTTTGCTTTTCAAGTGCCCTCTTTACAGACCAAGCATTAAATTCCAAGAAGTCATCTCAAAAAGTATACCACGAGTCCTGGTACGATTATATTACGTCAATTGGGTATGGATCAGCTGTCTCTAAGGCCCTTTTTCAAAAAAAAAAGAGAGAGAGAGAGAGAGAGAAGAAGAGGGAGAAGGATATAGATTTGAGTTAAAGAAGGCATAAGAAATTTGTAGCATGCAACTCAAAAAAAAAAAAAAAGCAAGACAGAGAAATAAAGGTTTGTCATTACCTTGATTAAAAGAGGGATTTAGTCAAAGGAGCACACTAGATTAGTCTCCTTAGAAAGGATTGGGTCACTTTGTCAAGAAACCCAAGAAATTTTTGAAAAGAATGGTGAAAATTAGAAGTGCAAAAGGAAAGAGAGAAAGGTTCGGCTATTGTGAAAAGAAAAAAAGGGGAAACTGAAAATTTTGGCTAAGGGATGAAGAAGGTGGTAGAGAGGGAAATCAAAAGCAACATTAAGTGCCCCGGCCAACCACCTCACCACTTGTCGCACATTAGCATGGTCGGGAATCATCTCGAGGGGTAGCAAGTGAGGTGCATGTTGTCTTGGTACGCTCATCCACACCAAATCCCATTTAAAATCTCCTCTTTTGATGTGCCATTATGATGGGATTTCTAGGGAAGATGCAGTTTCTTCATTTTTTTTTTTTTTTAAAGAGGAGTTACATTTCCTCTCTAACCATTGAAAACCTCCCTAGGGGATAGTTTCGAGTCTCCCTTAGATCTGGACCATACGTGAGTAGTGTAGAGAATCTTTTCCATAGTAACTACTCAAAGAATATTATTTGTCTAAAAAAAAAAAAAAAGAGAATAAGAACAGTGCAACTTGTGTAGAAATTCTGGTGAAAACATGACTGAAAGCTTGCTCACTGACCTTATATTTGCATCAGCCAGAATCACTGCCGGTACTTTTCTGTATCACACTCAATTTTTCCAAAAATTATTTTAGTGAATCTGCCAATGAAGGTTTGGCCAAGCGTGGAATTCATTACATAGAGTAATTTCGTGGTACTGTTTATGTTGTCCATTATCTTGGCTGGCTTTAGCTTTGTTCTGCACATATTTGGGTTCCATCAATCTTAACAATCTTGGATCTCTTAGCAAAAGTTCTTACTTTGGCCTTGTTTGATTCTATCCATATTAACGCTTCGCCAGTAGCATCAAAGCTCATGACTAGGGTCCTTGCTTTGATTGTGTTCGATTAAATCTATGCTAAAATCTTGGCAGCGGCATTAGACTCCTTAGTTGGTGTTTTGACCTCATTCATCAATGACAGCTGAATCATACTAGATTCATCTAGGCTTATCGTTATTCGGTGCGACTAAACTTAGCACAACCTTTCCTTTGTCAAAGTTACTTTTAACATCAACGGATTACTTGGTTGGAATTGAATTTTGGCAATCTTGAGTCTTTCAAGCTGCATTCGCTTCGATAGAAAATTCATATTGATCACCATATTTATGCAATTGTCCCAACATGCTTGTGATTATACTCATACTTCCTTGGAAAACTATCACCCTCAATGCCAAGCAGTCAAACTTGCTGTCACAACTTCGCTTGCTTGGGGGGCTAATGTTGAGAGATACATTTGCATTGCTTCAAAATTAACATGTATGGCCCCACATCAGCAAGGGCCCACATGGCTTATTTTCCACATCAGCCATGCTATTTTCTACTAATTACTACACCAGAGTCAGCATCGCCAAAAGCGGCATTTATCCACTTTGCTAGAAAATTGCAAAGTGCGGCTGACTCCAACATTTATTTCTACATACATGGCCAGAGATGGCCGAACGTTTTGATGGTCATGTCCTCCACAGTGATATCTATTATTACATCTCGCGGCTCGTAGCTCTCAACAATGGATAAAGAACTGACTTTGCTGCACATACATGGCTCCCATCAATCGACAACGAGATGCATCTACATAGCTCCCAATGGTGGACAAAGGGCTGGATTTGTCATTTAGCCCCCAGCAATGGATAAAAGGCTACATATTTCTACACATCTTCATTATACCAACTCCTAGTAATGGACAAAGGGTCAGATTTCTATATATTTCATTTCATTAGCTTTCAGGAACAGGCAAAGACTTATTGCAACTCGGTACGATTAGCATGAGACTGGTAACAGTTGCAACCCTACGATTGGATGGGATGGATACCCTCCAGTGATAAACATCCATCAAGCAGTGGCCAACAATCCCTTAATGGTTGCTCGTGCATGGTGGTGTGGTGCCCGATGGGCAACAACAACTAGGACCACCTTCTGACGGTGTGAGTTTGGCAAGAAGGGCCAGCATTTGTTAGTGGTATCACACCTTGTTATATCAGAGGCCATGGATACGACTAGCATCCCCCTTCCATGGAGACAACTCCACCTTTCTTTATCACATATTTATCGCTATAACGGAGTCTAGCTTAGTGAAATATACCCCTTTGTGACTTGGCGGATTAGTGGGAGTGCTATTTTGATTCCACATAGTTCACACTCTAGACATGGACAAAGCTAGCCACTGTTGTCTCTATGGCTATGGGAAAGTTATTCATGGCTAACCCAGTGATACTTGTGAGACATGGCCAGCGACCATGCACCTCATTACTCTTGCATATTGAGGGACAAAATTACTAGTTGTCGTTAATCCTAACTAATGACATATTTCTTCCATGTTCCATGTGTTACTAGGTATCGCCAACCAATGATGCTTAGATCGGGACAGCGATATCACAACACACATCAATATTGCTCACTCTTTATCTTGGCACAATGCCAGCCATATATGACAATAGCATACAAATGCTCGCCATGGCCACAGGACAAAAGAACACAACCATGATCATCCTCGTTATCCCCTTTCATATGTAAAAGAGTATCCTTCTTCACTTCACATGTTTGTATATTTTATACTTAAATATTTGAACAAATACTTACCAATATTTTACCTTCACTATAGATGAGCATGAACCCATGAGTCCAAACTCATGGAAAATATTCGGGATAAACTTTAGGAGTAGTGACTTGGCAAGAATGGATAAGTAAATGTTGCCCGTCTAATGAAGTAAGGTATCCACACCAGCGAAGCGGCACTAGCGATGTTGCATGACTTTGCCAAAAAGGGTTGGGTGGTGAAGACATGAAAGTGAACTTGATTCTCGAAACAATACCTTTTGATGCTAACCAAGAGCTTGAAATCTTGTGAGAGATTAAGAAAAGATGTTTTAGTCTCCATCAACAACCTACAGCCATATTCAATGTAAAGGTAGCTGCACAAGCTAAGTTGTATTGGGAACTATTGAAAAGGTTACTTTCAACTTGGAGAATCCTCCAAAACTCCTAAACAGACCTTGGGGAATCTACCAAAATCCTATGTAAATGTTATTTTGTCAGCTACACTCAAGTACTTGCCCAAAACTAGAATTTTGTATACCTAGATGAATTACCAGAAATAGGTAATTTATAGTTCTGTGCCAAAACCACTTGATAATTCATAATATCATTGCCAGAAAGCTGTCAGCAGTGCCCAAAGCTACTCAAAGCTTGACAGCTCACCCAAATCTACCCATTAAGCTACTGAGCAACTCTGACCCATCAACCCAGAAATTACAAAAATACCATTGCACATATATATATATATATTATTTTTTTAAAGAAGAAAAACAAATCAGATTCTTCACAACCTCAATTTTCCTTCTCATGTCCAAACTTCCATCTTCCATGCAGCTGGTTCTTCACCTCCAATCTTTTGCCACACACACCCAACAACCTAGAAACCATCACTCACCTTCACATATTCTGCATTCCTAGCACTGCAGGATAACTCCCAAATTTGTGGAACAGCATGGTTGGAAGACATCATAGTGCAGTTTCAATTTCTCATCCATTTTTCTTGAGCATCAAAAGATTGAGTTAAATGGTTAACATCAAGAACAGGATCAAGTCACCCATTTGCAAGGCCCCCAAGCGATCACCTCTTCTTCTCCCATCACTACTTTGAAGTTTAGCTCTTGAGAAATCTTCAAAGGAGGGACTGTTGTATCTTATATTTACATCATGAGGGTTGTCAGATATAGAGTGAGGGTATTTACTAGGGACCATAGAGGGCACATTTGCATTATTATTATGTCATGATTTTATACACATAAATGTGCTTCTCAAGTTGTAATCTTTGAACTTTAGATATTTTGTATCTCTAATGCTCCCACCATAATGTATCGCTTCACTGTTTACTTTTGATAGTTGTGTAATCAATCTCGGTCCTTGGCATTCCATTACCCTTGCTTAGCTCTCTTTCTTTTTTATGGTTTGCCTAGAAAATTCATACTTTCATACTTGGCTGAAGAATCCACTACTAATCAACAACATTGGGTAGATC